GGGGGCGTATAGAACAATCGCTGATGAGCAGACATCGATCCGAGGCATGAAAACTCGCATACTAGATCAGGCGATTGCTGATTTGCCACGAACATCACGTACGGCGACATCTCAGGGAGGCGAAAGTCCTCGAGAGTTCTCCGACATGGCTCAGCCTGCAGGTAGGCTCGGTTTATCCGCGTTGCAGTACTTGAGTCGCGTGTTGTGCAGAGTTGCGATCACGAATCGACCTTCAAGCTCAGAACCAACAGAAGCAATTAGACCAAGCCCTGGCAGACCTTGAGACTCTCGAACGGGCCACACAAAAATTTGCCACTAAGCTAGAAGTCGAGAGAACCAGCCAAAATATTATTGAGCAGATCAATGATGTTGACGCTCGCGTCCAGTCTCTTGCAGAACAGGTGGAACAGGTCGATGTCGCCAGGATATCATGGTGTACCTGTAGGTCGTACAATTAGTGGGAGGTGAGCACGATAGACTGATAGAAACTGAGCGCAACGTGGATAGCATGGCCGACCGATGCAAACACCTTAGTGAAGGCGCCAAATTAATGAAAGAGCAATTTTCTCACTATCAACAACAATTTAGTCTTCAACTAGAGGAACTTCTTGACAATATGCAGGTCCTTCCCTAGTGTACATGCTCCCCACACACACCAACCCCCCCCCCGCGCAGCGACACAGGTCAGTGGCGACGACCAAACATTCCAGCCACCATGGCGAATTTAACGCCATGCGCTGTGAGCTCGACCATCTCAGACTAGTATGCATGGAACAAGGCCGCGGTTTCAAAACTGAAACTTGCCTACTGAAGTCTGAACTCAAAAGACACCAGGCACTCTACCGAGATATGCTACATGAGTACACACTTTTACTACATGATAGCTACAAAATTGCGAGAAGAACCTTGGACGATCAAGCATCCGGTGACATCACTAGAGCAATTCCATTCACAGGGTTTAGGCAGTTTGCGTTATCTTTGCCAATGCAAATCGGCGATCGTAGGGCCGCGCCAGGTATGACTGTTCTCGACAATCTGCGTCTAAAGGAAGAAAACCTTCGCTTGAAAACCCTCGTGCAAATCTCTCCAACAACCTAACGATTTATTTTTACTTGTATCTTGTGACACGTGATATCAATTCAGAATTCCAGTAAAAAAATCTATTTCAGGGCAGAGTCAGGGCGACGCGGAGGCCAATGCGTGAACTGAGGTCAAGTGGTGTGAAGCAAAGCCCCAGTCCATTCTCGGTGGGCTCCAGAGCCACAGCTGGGCGGGTGTGCCCCATACGGAGCCTGCAGGGAAAGGGCCCTGAGTGAAGTAGGTCGCAAGCTAACTTACTAGCGAGCTAAGGCTCAGGGGCAGCACGAGTATGTTCTGTGACATGCCACGCACGTTGGAGCTCCTACGTACACCCTAAGGGCCTCCGTAGGGTTTAGGTAACTCCGGTAATGCTCAGCCCTAGGAACTCCGCTCAGCCTAAGATTGTAAATTTAAGGTAATCTCGACTTTAATCTCGGCCCGGGGGAGCTCTTGAGATCCAGCTAAAAAAATACTACTACCTCCGAGGTATCCTAAATGGGATTTCGTGAGACGGATCCACAACAAACAAAGGGGGGTGCTGAGAATCGACTCGCTCGAGCTCTAGAGCTCAAACAAAATGAAGCGCACAGTAGGCTAGTCGGGACTAGTACTTAAACGGAGGCTGCCCTAGGTAGACTTGGCACGGTGCCGCACAGACCAACGGCCAGCGAAAAGAACAGCCCCGCGTAAACCTCCTCAAAAACCCCGCCGCAAGTCAACCACGCCGGCCATGGGGCGAGGGCCAGCTCTTTGCGTTGGGTTTCTCGCATCCGGACCTAGCTGGCGCGTATTCACAAGGGCCCGGAGGCAGGAAATATAGTCTGAGTGGCAGTTGCCATCATCACATGGGACAGGAACTTCAGATTTGTCGCAACTCCCATCAAAAGTCCTAGGCTTGACGCAGGAAGAGACTTGGCCAAAGCCATACGGGTTATGGGCTGATTCACCGCACATACCGAAGTCAGAGACAGTGCGCTTGTAGTTCATTAGGACTGAGAGCACGCGATAACTCTCTCTGACGTAGGCGTCGTAGACCCTTCCACGTGTATCGTAATCGATATACTCGACGGACCCTGCGGCTAGGGCAATATTCCACGGGGCCATATCCTCGTACAGAGGTAATTTGACGAAGTCCCTGTAGATGGCACTGGTCTGAGCCTTGACAAGGCCAAGGCGGAGAGCACAGATAAGAGTGAACGAGTGGATAACGCCGTAAGGTATGTAGCCAGCATCATGATCGCGTGTTAGACGGACATGCACAACGCGACCCTCAGAGACATGGTGGCCAACGGGAAGGGTCAAGCGTGAATCACCCTTTGAACTGTTCCAGGCAATCGCACCACCCCCGCTCGCTGGGTCACGCCAAGATCCGGGGATGAGTAAGAGGCCCGTTTTAGGGACTACGAGAGATGTATTCACGTCAACGTGCATGGTGTAGGTACGTTTGTGGCCATCCTTTGCCCAATCGAAGTGGTGGTGGACCTTTCGTGTCATCTTGACTATATCGAGTCTAACAAGAGGGAACGAGAACGGCCGACCGGGAAGCGAGTAGGCCTCTCGGATAGAAACTCGCGTCTCACCATCTAGCGGGATAATTGCATAGTGTTCGATCGTCTCTTGAAGCAATCGCATAAAGGCGGGCACTGGGTGTTCATTGATTGAAAACGTAGGCGTGATCCTCTGCGCATCGACAAGGGATGTCTCGGGGAAGAATGCAAGCATCGCAAGGGATATGTGCTTGACTGATGGGAACGGCAACCACGTCGTCAGAGAAGACGAAATATAACGGCCGAGTGCCTTCTTAAAATCGAGGTGTGAAGAGCCATCTTTCAATTCGCCATAATCTCCCGCGAGACCATCTAGCAAGCTAGGTGACTGAAGCAATGCAAAACGTGCAAGCTCAGGTGATTCGTAAAACTTCTTAGCGAGAGCGTCATCCAATGGCTCACCTGCACAGCAGAGAACATTTTGCAGCTTGCGCCCAGATGCTATATTGTATAGTGCATCACCAAATAGTGATGCTACTCCAACAATGCTCAACACAGTTGCATTCGGATACTTCGAAGCCGCGTGAAGTGCCACCGAATAGTCGCGGCAGCCAAATTCCAGGAGAGAGAAACGGCCACCGCGGTGCTCTGCGGGCGACGCATGCATTTCACGCTCAAGTTCGTCCCAGACTTCAACGCCGCGCGGAGAATCCCAGGGTTCAGTAGAAATGATTGGCCAGAGTAAAGCATGAATTCCCTCATTTACCATGAGAGCTGGTACACCTTCGATTACCGTGAGCGACAGACGGTCTGTTGATAAGAGGTCAGGTGCCTCTGAAAGAATCCCAGAATCAAGATGATCCAATGGCAGCTGAAGGTGTGCACGGAGTAGCGCGGCTTTTTCAAGGTGCATTAGGTCGAATGCTATAGCGGCAGCCACTGATATGCCATTTGGGCGTGACACACCCGAACGAGCCTCAAATTCGATGCGAAAGACAAGAGGCACCTCGGCAGGCGCAAGCAAAACTCGCGGCTCTGAAATCATGGTCCCACCAACCGAGAGCTCAATATGCGATGTCCGCCGCGTGACATGCTGAAGAGCGGCGCGAAGTAAGGTGAGCTCATCACCAGCATACGCTAAATCTAAGGCCGCCGCACAGGCGGGTGCCAATTCGTGAAGTCCGGCTACGAATGCATCGAGGCGAGGCAACTCAACCAGCGCAACTCGCTGACCTATGTCGATTGCAGCACCAAGTCGCACCTCGAGAGCAACAGTATCACAAACGTCATCTTTGGTCGCTGCGAGCCAACGAACTATCATCGAAGCCCCAATAGCAACGACCACTGGCCCCCCGGGGCCAGCCAAGGTCCGCAGCAGCGAAATTTTGGTGGTTCCGCTTCCAACAATGACACGTCGCGAGGCGAGAATCTTGCTGAGATCTATTACTGCTGACAGACGATCCATCGAATCCCCTCGCCAGTTTATGACGGTTGCTGCTGGTGCAAAGCGAGCAGCCTTAATTGCTACCATCCCCAGGTCACTGCCAATTAGAACAACACCCATGCGCATCGAGCGCAGCGGATCAAGTGCGGTCTTCAAACTCGGCCACCAAGTTCGAAGCGCAGTCATCTCCTCCGATGCCAGCTTCGCGAACAGCACACTAGGCAGGCCCTGGGTAACTGCAAT